ATCCATCCTGTATTTATTTACTCGAGCTCCTGTCAATTTCGACAGGAGCTCGAGTTGACTGGAGGGTAGACGTAAGCGACATACGAATATATAGGAAAGAACACAACATTCACAAAGCTAGCCGGTCAAGTTCAAGGCGCTCAGCATAAAAACAATATACATACTTACATCGACCATTAGCAAACAAAATGGCGACGATTAATCATCACCGATTACTGATGTATTAGAAATGTAAATTGTAAGGTCAAAGAGATTAAATATGTGGTTACATAATGTTTATAATGGGAATTTAAATGTGACCTGTGTTTCTAAATACACTGCGCTGTAGTCTGGACTAGTAATGTGACTGGATAGTTGGACTTCAGGATTTTTTATCCATCGGCATTCTGCAAACGAGAAACTTCCTCTTGAGGGTCGCTATGGAACGTGTCCATATCCGGACTGAGTGAAAACTGTCACAATTTACCAGAACATCCAGACTTGTTGGCAATACAATTCCCTTGAAAAAACATAAATCTTAGCGCGAATATTATTTTAATATTTATCTGATAATTAGGAATTAGGATTCAAGTAATAGAGGTTTTTTTTTAAATAGTCACATCGTACAGCAGGTTAGGCTCTTGCTTAATAATTGTGGTACGATAGAGCACACTACGTCACAATACTGGCTGAATATTATGGTTAACTGGCATTGGTGTTCTTTTACTTGAACGTCAGCTGATCATTAACTAGGCGATATTACACGATCTCCTCATTTGTTATCCTGTCGCTGTTTCGACAAGAAAACAATTAAAATAATAAATACTGATATGAATGTTTCTTTCTATTCCACCTGCCGTCAATTGTATGAATTTTGAAATTGCGCCAATATGTGCCATTTTGTAGTTGGCATAATGAGCGCGACGTGGCATTATTGTGGCCATAACGTCCAGTATGGTAATGTGGTGGGACCACAATGCGTACGTGAGCCGCATGCGCCGCCGACCACGTCTTTGTGCTACTAGCCAAACACCACACCAGGACGTAATCTATTCGATAATGTCGAACTAACTATACTAAGTGATTTAGGAACGGCAAAGAACATCACGAGGGAATGGTCGTTGAAAGTAGAGGCGATCGCTATTGCTACCAAATCATCACGTAAGTTATACAGAAAAGGAATATTCGATTCGTGACATCAAAGGAGTTTTGTGCAGCGTCGCTATTGTAAAGGACTCCCTGGGAGACACGCAGCCACATGTTGCAACATCTATTAGTTATACATTTATAAGTATACTGAAAAAAGGCTGTGTGGCGAGGAACAGCTCGCCATTCATTGGAACACCATTAGTTGGTTGGACTTAAGAATATATTATTTAGTAGGTACCCTAACTAGGTGATCATCAGCCCAACATTGCGTATGGGCTGCATTCGTTCAAGCATACTTTTATTTAGTTTGTATAACAAGCGATCTTTAAACAACATTTGGTGAAGACAAACGGGCTACCACATTAAGGTAGGTATAACTTTGAGGTTTGGGCCAAGCTTTGGAAAATCGCCAACAACTTCGCACCGAACAAGCCGGTGACATCTCATTTGTCTTTTACTACAAACTGCAATACATTAACGAATGTCTCTATTTTATTGATCTGTAATGTCAGCTTCTTATAGGTCGTGTATATTTTTGTTATCTTAATAGACTTCTATATAGACTTCTATATCTATGTACGTCGACTGTTTTCGTTTGTACAAGTAATTAAAGTAATTATTTAAAATGCGTTTTGATAAGTCTCCCGTTTATCATTGCTTGTTTGTTCTGCTCTGTTCTCGTATACAGCGTTAGTTGCGTGTTTGTTTTGACTTATAGTACTACTACACATATGTATAGTAGATATTAGAAAGTGTTTACTTATTAGCATTTGCTGGCAAATGGGAAAGATGTTGGAACATGTTACTGTAAAAGGGTACTTGTTTGCGCACAACATCTAAATAATAAAGCTGTAGGTGTGTGTGTATGCACACGTACTGTAGCAGGTCGCTCGGTAAAACCGCGCTGTTTGCTCACCCACTCAACGTGAGAGCGGCTTGAACGTGCGCTGCCCGCCAGCTAGCACTACAAACGAGTTCCAAGTTTAGATGTTCAGTGAAGTTCCCGCAAGTTGTTTCGATAACATCCGCTGATTATTCAAGAGAAACCAAGAAATTGATCGTGTGTTACTTCTATCTCTGCTTCACCTGGTAGTGTTGTATTTGTACTGTAGGGGCATCCTCTTGGTTATGGTTACGAACGCCTTTGTGGGAATATAATAAGTGTGTGCGTCGGTAGACTGGTGGGCGCATGTATAATTACGGTATAAAGTTGAACACTCACCTTGGCCGCAGCCCGAGCAAGGCCAAGGTCGTTAAAGCGTGCCGCTCCCCCCTCTCTGCCTCCTCCTCCCCCACATTTCCCCCCCACTCCTCGGTTTGCTCCTCGAGTAGTTGCACGCGCACGCGATTTTTTTTGCAGAGTGATGTAATCTGTAATTCGGCGCGAGCGCAACATGGCCGACCGTCACGCTCATATAAACATTTCTTAAAGCAATATTTTAAACATTCCGAATTCTGTTATTTATACACAAACCGTAGTTTATATATAGTCAGCGCTATCTACACTTATTGACTTAAGATGTAATGTGTAAGTAACCCAGATCCACAAACTCTGTCCAATGAAAGAATGTTGCCACGTATCTGTTCCATGGCTCCGTCTGAGCACGGAGTTAGAGAGCTACACCTGAATTAACGACCGGCGGATGCCGAGCGTGGTCTGCTTAATGAAACGCGTGACGTGCGAGCTGCCGCTGCCGACTGTGGACGAGCTCTCACAACAACTTGCAACAACACAGCCACCGAATAAATCGGCAATGCCTTTGCCTTGCGAACACTGTTTATTATCAATGTAAATAAGCTTCAACTAACTAATTGAACAGATGTTTATAGAAATTGGACAATAAATTCAAAGATTCATTGATTCTTTCATTCGAAGTGTGAATGAAAATATTCTTACCTTACCTCACTATTCTCGCTACACTGTATCGGTTGACTGTAACTACGACTGCTAAGCTCTAAGCAATTATTTGTAGGGTAAAGTATAGAGAGGTTTGTTCGTTGCTAGATAGGCCCATGTAATGCTCAAGCCATTAGCTGATCGGTCGTGTGCAGTGGAGTCGGTGCGAAGCGGCGCGGCGGCGTAGACCGCAAGGCGCGGTGCGACCGCAAGTCGTTCAGTGTGCGTTACACACGCGATTACATCCGAACACCTTCATTCAGAGATGAGATACGAAGACCAGCTTTCTAAGAGTTAAACCTTATGATATGTGAATGTTTGATGGCCCTTCCATAATTAAATTAATTACAAGAGTACCGCGAATTGTGGTGGTGGTGTTAACGGTTAATGTAACACTACAGACTCCCTAATTTCAGTTACCTACCACTTTAGGTGTAATTGATTGAAACTTGAAATACTCGCAAACCCCTGACACTCGAATCATGGAAATATCGATCTGGTAGGATTAGATGATAGGACTATCGTATCCGACTATCAGATTCAGCTAGTGCAGAAAGTGAACCAAATCAACTAGACTAGAATTGGAGCAGAGTTGATCACCTTGCAATACAAGCCTTCTTTCCTTTAAAAGAATTTAGGCTGTCTGTCGTCTATAGGACTCCAGAACTAGTAACTGTTTCAGAAAATAATAATTTGTATTGGTGGTAAGTGGCAGCCCTAGTTATTTCCGTATGAATGGCGGCCGGGCGTACCTCTGTCGTCTTCCTGCACGGCTTGCCAAACTACAGCACAGGTTCGCATTAGGAGAGTCACCGGTACTATATTCGGCCGGAGCTAGGAAGTAACCTGCCCACTGATTACTACTTTGAAAGTTATCATTGTAAGCTGTGGTACGCTTGTATAACAACACTAAGCTTGTCTCTTCCGTGTTAGCTCTGTCCTTTCGTGGGCCTAATTCTAATAAACCGATATATTGTTTCTCCCGGTCCTCTAAAATATCCCACACTCTAACAGACAGTTCGCATCTATGTTTGCATCGTTGGCCACAGACCAAGCGACCAGTTACAGTTAAAAGTAATAAATCGGCTCCCTTACGTACCGTGTATTTCTACTGAATGATTGAATGCTACAAAACCCCTTCTATTCATACAGATCAGTCCACTTCACTCAGTTTCAATCAGATTTCCACAGCCCCAGTGGAGCGGTATTCTGATAATAATGCACATCAGAAGTCTTCTACTACAATATTCACTAGAGGACATACCATGATCGGAACGGCGCGGCGGGGGAACTAGCCACGTCCTCAATATAATTATGATGTTTATTTTATTTAAAGGACTTAAGTATTATAAGTGCCAATAAATAATTTATTATGTACTTCTAGTAACACGTCTGTAAAATACTAGTAATAGATCAACTGTTGTTCCGAATGGCCTGCATTATTTTGATTAGTATGGCAAGGCACACCGATACTTTTAGCCAACGATTATGACGAATTCAAATGGATGTAAATAAATGGATGATGGTGCGTTTATATATAAATCAAATAGGATTGTTGAGTTGGCTCGGCGCTGCCGGCTGCCGGCTGCCATCGTACTATGTGTAGTACGCAAGTAGGTGGGGGCGGCGCATGCGTACGCGGCGCGGTTACGGAGTGCGTGGGCGCACCTTACACAACTACACGTACAGACATAGGCCACACTGTTACAGGGACCCATACAAAGTGATCTACATGGTGAGCACTTTGTATATATCCGTGTTTTAATTTAAATGTGATATTCATTTCTTTTTTAGTTTAATTTCCGTTTCACATGGCCCTAGTGACAGATGTCCTCGAGGTGTTTCTTAAACTGATCTTTAATTAGTACATAGATAAGACAAATGTAATGTACACCTAATATAAAACATGTTATATTGATTTGAGAGACATAGTATCTTATATGTACATGTTATTGTTATAACACAAACAACTCACTGATATCCGTGACGTCGTTCCACTTCATGATGACGTCAGTGCAGAAATCACCTGAAACAATACAAACATCATAAAATCATTGATTGTTTTAAACTTTAATTACAGACCCTCTCGTTTTCGATCTCAAAATGTCACGTAGGAAGTATAATGATTGTGTCATATTGTAAAGTACCGAGTTGGCACTAACTGATACTCCTATTTTCATTGTTATTCCGCGAATAGACTGAACATACAATATCTACATCAGTCCTGCCAAGCCCTTGTCACAGTCGATCATGCGGATCCCATTCAGCCAAATCATTTCCAAGTTAATCAATTATACTTCTATAAATAATATAATTAGCTGCTACTCGAAACTACCGCTACTTCACACTACACAATTGAATCCACAATAATTATAAATATGCATTTGCAATGATATTTTTTATCTGTGAGAATGAGAATTTTCACAAAGGCTGCTCCTTTAATTATAAAGCATAATAGCGGAGAATTTGAAGTGAAAAAATGTGTTGTATTGCATACAATGAGTGTTGGACGCGTTTAGCTAACTGTTGGCACTCACGCGACCAGCCGCGTCGCACTCTGCCCTCGCGAGCCGCGGGCTGCCTAAGTAAATGCATACGCACTTTTCATACACATTCTCTTAGCCTAGTCTAGCGATAATCGACGAAGCAGTCCTCAACACCGTAGTTAACATGTAGACTTTCCTCCACACCTCATAATATTATGCAAATACACGTTTCCTTCTATTCAACAACGAGTAATTATCAGTTTACTTCTAGGAAAAGACAGCTAAGTTCTGCGACTAAACCATATTATCTGGCGTTATATCATTTCTTCAGATTTGTATTTTGGTATGACTGATAAGTCCTATCTCCTAGTTAAGATAAACAAAGACAACAAACTGTGATCTAATTTTGTATCGACGATAGTATATCTGCTTACATTCAGATAAGATTTGTATTTAATCTGAAGCCGGTAATAAACAGAGAGTATTATATTTTTCACTCAAAGAATAGGATTGTGGTGATTTCAGGTCATGTTGCTGCAACTGCCCTTTCGTCACCAACGCCTCTCTTCTTTACTGTGTATGTATGTATACGTTACTTTGCGATTATTTTAATTTCCTTATGTATAGGTATAACCTACGTCATCATGATACTTTACTAAGATTGTTTAATTGTTTATGCAAACCGTGGAGATATCACAGAGAGTTCAGGCCGCGGTGGTCGTCCGGTCACCCGACACTTTATTTCAACTTTCGTTCCTTATCGAAACACTTAAACAAACAACAAAACAACAGTGACGCTATTGATCACATCTAAATTACAAACAAAGTAATCTAATCTGTGACAATCTCGCGTGTTTTTCAATATTCTGAGATAACGAATGTGTTGTTCCTCGATGTGTTGCTGTCGTTGACGTTATTGATTAATGTTTAGGTGTTTTCCACAATAATTATACTTACCTAGTCCACTAATTGTAGAATGGTTCAAGAGGATTGTGTTTATCTGACATTATATCATAGTTTTATCGTGAAAGATCTGTCTTGTACCTATAATGTTGTTGTATCATGCTGTTCCTCAACGGATAAAGGTTTTGTACAACGTTGAATGATTGAAGATTATTTTAACCAGTGATTTATAGAGAATGGCCATTACAGAAAAAATATGTTCGAAAGATACCGAATTGCGTATGAAGTCTGAATTATTTTTATGTAGGTACATAATTCATTTTACGTTAGCGATACGCGAATGGGAGTAGATGCCCGCAAAATTAAGTCGGCTGTGTTGTGAATTTTGATTGATGTCACCCCAGAAATTATAAGACTAAGGAACAATCTTTCATGGCTTGCAGTGGATCAATACAAGCTAGAAATAATAAATAGCTGCGGTAAACATATGTCGCGCCGTGGCTGCGCTCGGTCACGGCTCGGCCCGCGACCCAGTTGCCGCTCGGGGCGGCCGCGGCCGGCAACCGGCCGACGACCTCGCGGTTTCGTACTCCTTTCGCTAATTCCTTGCGAATTAATGAGTTTTAGATGCAGTGCTGTGTACCACGACTCGATTAGAGAGCAGTGATGACTGACTAGTGTGGCAACACGATCGCATATCGCTGCTTCTTGCGTAGGTAGGCAATTTCAGATGCCCGGGCTAAAATTAAGTATTTGGAGTTGTGGACAGTTATTTCGTATACATTCATCGTAAGTATTGTAATTTATCCACGAACTATTGCGATGAAAATAACAATAAACATACTTTCACACCAGCATATCAAAAAGGTAACTTTTGGAATACCTATCCTGAAGTAAAGAAAAACTCGCGTATCGATTAAGGGTCCGCACTTAACCCTTGTATCCTCCTATCCTCATCATCCTACCCTCAGGTGGGAGATTGATAGCAATTTCCTATGATCAGGTACAATGCGAGTCCGAATAGGACAATAAACCGTTGAAACAATATACTGAGCGTCGATGGTGCATCTGCATAGTTGGAGATAACAGTTGCTGGTGGTTTATGTTTAAAGTGGGCTCACTGGGCACTCGGGACTGTCTGACGAGTGGGCCATTTTAAATGGACGTTCACCTTCGGCTTGGGACGGTCTAGCTCAGCTACAAACGTGTTTTCCTAATCACGAACACCCTGGAGAGGAGCGGCAGCAGTTGGCTGCACTACAGCACATTCGTTAGACAAATATTTTGGTTGTTGTAAAACAGAAGGTAGGTAGGTACTCGAAATTTAATGTATCCAATGTGACACTAAATGCAACTTCTACTTTGAATATTCCGTAGGTTCTACTACATACAATTCTCGTCCTAGACACGGTCCATTAAATGTGGCAAATGTTCCTTATTTGAGTCTGTTTGTCCCCTGCGCAGGTAGCAGAGTGTTTATTGTATTCTGTGATAATGAGCGCGCCATGACAGTGTCCGTTACAGTACGAGGCGCGGAGCGTCACTACACTTCTGCCGGCACATTCCGCACAACGAAGCTACTGTTTGCTTGAAAGATTGAAACTTCTTCAGCGACACAGTTGCTGCTGTGGCTGTTGCGCAACGATTCGATTTTCGGAAGCCATTATTTATATGAACTACAAATTGTTGTTTCAGGTCTACGTGTGATGGGTATTTAGGGAGATAAGACTATAGGTCCACCACTGCGGCGGAAAGTAAATAAATATTTAAAATATTAAATGAATTGTTTTAATTAAAATATAATACAATGTATAGACGGTAAAGACATTTTTCATTGGAAAAATTATGACAAGAGAAAACAAAAGTATTGACACATGGTATTGGAAGAAGAAAATACTAAAGAAAAGAGGTGAGCTAACTAATAGAGGTAGTAGGTAGTAAAAAGTACGAATATGAGGAAGGTATAGAATAATGAAAGATATAAATAAATGAAACGTAGGTGAGCAGCCTACAGGTACATATGTCAGTTGTGTGATTGTGTGTCTGTAACGTTAAAAACCTCTACATTACGCAAACGTAATATTAGAATACAATACTGATCCAGAAGAAGTAAACAATTACATTAAAATGAGTTAGTGGTGACTAGTCACCTACATAGGTATTTATACGCACATAAATAATGCTTTCCTTTGCATATTTATTATAGTTACTGCACAATATAATTTAAAAATTAAATGAATATTTTATTGCCGCCATGGTCGCCAACGGAACCTTATAAACTCATGGAATCACGCTTACATAGTTACGCTTGCGAAGCTTCTGAATACGTCAACCAGATGTCAACCGAGATACGCTGGTAAGAACAAGTGTGTGGGGTGTACTCGTTGTACTCGTATTCATGCTGTAATTATAATTCTCAAACATAAACTAGGTACTGGAAGAATGTTTATGACAAAAACAAACAGGTATGTTGAGGGGCAAATAGGCTTTTAGATAATTTAAGTAGTCATTTTTCGTCAGTATTTGATGAAGGCGGAAGGTTAGGTTAGCGCTAGCGAGCTAGTCGGATATTTGTGATCTGGCGAGCTATTCGCAGTTGCGTGGCTGAGCGGGCGCGCGGCGTGCGTCGCGGTAACCTCCTCGACCCCGTTTCGGTTCAGAGTTGAACGGCCGCGCAGTACCTACTGTTTGCACCTCCCGCCGCCCGCGACTCCGCCGCTGTGCAGCGCTCTGCACCCAGCTCCCTCCCACCACACCACTGAGACATCGCAACTACACACTGTGCGCCCACTCCATGCTAACACTTGCAACTTGCAACCATTACGAGCCTGTCAGAACCTGCACTTAGCAGCCATCATTCAATTGTTACCGCAACAGCAACAGCCTTAGAACCTGATTATATTTTACTGAAGGACTCGGTGACAATGAAATAAGAAACATGACACGTATCCCGTACCACTTATCATAATTGGTGTAAACTAGATTTGGCGTGGGTACAAAGCACGTCGTACATTTGAATAAAAGTCGGTTCCAACAATAATGTTCATTACAGCGAAACGTACAGCCCTCACGAAAACTAAACCAAAACATAACAGAACAAAATTATTGCGAACATTTTAACTTTATACCAACAACAAGCAAGTTCGGAACATAAATATTATTGATGACGAGGGAAATCAATTATTGTAAAATATTTTCTCAACTTGTCTCCGAGTCAGTTCACATTCGAGACTGCTAATACGCAACAAGTTCAGAAGAGTGCAGGTCAGTGTGAGCAGTGTCAGCATCTAAGTACGTACAAGTAAAATGAGTAGCAAGCAGTTGGAGAACTTCTGCGAGGGAAATGGCAATCATCGGATATTGTGGAATAAACCATTGGATATTAACCTTGATTCTAAAGAAGCAAGTGGTGACTAGCCGTGCTGGTGAACAAAATCAACAGCAGTGTGGAAATACATTACATTCCACTAATTTTAATAATTATATCAAACACAGATTTCACAAAAAAAAAAATAAACCAGTGACATTAGTGCTATATATCCTATAAACACTGCAGTACTCTTATAGAGTAATATCAAGTGAGTAATAGCTGTGACTGTGAGCTATTTAAGGACACTGCCTCACGATCGAATTTTAG